TTCCAATGATATCTCTTGTGAACCCATGAAGTCTCGGCCACTCAAGAGGATTAAGCGTATGAGAATCACTTTCAAAAATAAAATCTTTAAATCCAAAATTATCATTGCCCACACAAATGTCGCTTACGCCACAAGGATATTTAGATAAGTTTTGGCCTCGAGATTTTTAATATCTTAATACAATCGATATATAGGTTAAAAGAATCAGAATATATAACGGTTAGATATTAAAACTAAGCTAAAGGCACTACAAAAAATGGTCGTTTTATGTCACTTATTTTATATATTTTTTGTATTACTTATAATTGATGTAAATGAAATTGCATTACTATGGTTACAATAATATCAATTTTTTTTTCTAAATAAGTTACTATAAAACGAGAAGGTAGGTGATTAATCAAAAGTGGGCAAATATGATAAGCGTATTGTATTAAACAAAGCACCACGTGAATGTTTTTGAGGTTCTCGCTTCCAACGGTCAAAAAATCATGGAGCAATTACAAAAATACTACTTTTTGTATGCATATTTGCAATAATGTCACTTAGAGGTGTTCATTTACAAAAATGCTACTAATTATAGATTTATAAAGCCTATATCTTAAAATTCTAAATCCTAAAAAATGTTTTGACACCTAAAACCCCCTAAACACTCAAAACTAAACCCTAATAGAACATAATTAACTCAAACATAAATAATATAAAGAAAAAATAATTTTGAAAAAGTGGCACTTTTGTAAAGATTTTAAAAGTGTGGCATTTTTGTAAAGTGACACTTGAAAAGTGGCATTTTTTGAAAATTCTCAAAAATCATAGACAAATAAACACTTAAACAAAAAAATAAAACAGACTCGTTAACGTTGTTAATTATTTGAGTTAGTTGTCTTCGAGTTTAAAATCTTGACAAAAAGAAAAGATCTTAATAAATTTTTCAAAGTCGATTTTCACTAATTCCCATGCAGGAATTGTTAATTGACATGCATCATAACAACAAAATATATGTAACTAGTGTTTTTTCCTTGTCGACGTAAAAAATTGGCCTAACTAATTTCTCTTGTGATTCGAGTTAAGATATAAGTTAATAAAATCCATGATAAAAAAAAAACTAACTATATTGGGTTGAGTATTTGAACCAAACCGAGAAAATAGAAAAATATTGATTTTTTTTTTTGCATCATATTGCCAACTTATTTATGTGACCAATTTTGTAGATTAGTAGGGATTTTCGCTCTATATGTGTTCCAACTTTCCGTTGCACTTCACACTCAATTACATGTTGATGACATTAATTAAAAAAAATGTAAATATAGTTGAAATTTTGTGTTTCAAAATTCTTAACATATTTTAAACTTTACTACGATCGATATCACAAAACAAACTTTTATACTAATTGATTTTTATTTAAATATTATAAACTTTCGGTTCTATTTTGAAAATGCTCGAGTTAAAAACACAAATGAAAAGATAAACGTAAACTACTTACGAAATCTATAATTTATAATTAGAGAAACTATAATCTATATTAGTCTTTCCATGTAGAATTCATTATTTAACATCATATAAAATATAATGTAGTAACTAACATTTAACTCAATTTAAATTCCGATTTTACTTTTCCATAGTTATACAGGTTT